CCCACCTCTTTAAGGCAACTTCACGAAACTGCTGAATGGCTCGTCCCGTCCCCGAGGCTCGCGGGGCCCCTGGCTGCAGAAACCGATTTTGCACTGCTAAGGGGCTCGCGCTGTATCTGCGCAAACGGAAGCAATAAATGCTAAACGGCTCGCAAAATCACCCCCGAAGCCAAGAACTAATGCTAAACGGCTCACAAAACTACTCGGAAACTTGGTCTCTATTTTAAAAGAAACTGCTAAATGGCTTGTTTTTTCTCGCATCACACACATGCAGCTTACCTTCGACTGGCCTGGGCCCCGTTGAAAGTAACGGCCCCCGTCGGTGATGTCCAAGCCCCCGCTTGGGTGCCTAGAAGACTTTAGAACTAAACCCTAAAATGCTTGAACTCAGGGCGGTCTTGGGGTGGGCTGTCTGCTACGCACGAGTGCGAGCGGCCTGGGTGTGCACACACCAGCGAGCACCCATGACGTTACCACACCCTAAACCCTAAACCCTAAACCCTAAACCCTAAACCGGGTTCAGGAGCAGTTTTCGGCTTCAGGGTTCCAGTCAGGTTCGGTTTTTTTGACTTGATGCCTCTGACAAAGAAGGCTCAAGCAACACCACCACCTATGCTCTAAGCTAAACCGCGAGCCTTAAACCCCGGGGAGTCCGCACAGCATATCGCATGAGATAGTAGTGGAATGGCCCTCCAAAGATTTGCAGTCGCTTCTATATCTGTCTGCTACCCTGCTAGGCACTGTTATGATCGAGATGTTTCTTTTGGGTGAACCAGCAGAAACCACCACAAGAAAACTGATTCTCCAAGCAATGTGAAGAAACAGAAGCATGGCAATCACACCTTCCGCCTAATGTTGCAGACCGTGAAACAGTGGTTCTCCTCAACTATACCGTACGCTTTGAGGTGGCTTTTATTTTATGAATCATCTTGAACTTCCGTTGACGCGGCGAGTACTCCTGAAAGTGGTTGTCTGGATCTTTTTCGGTTCACAAGGCATACATCAGGCTGACCATATGGATTCTCTGCGCGGTGGTTTGAGCTAGTAAAGCTTCGCCACCGCAAGATCCGGAAGTCTTGAGACCCAACCAAGCCCTGAAGGAACCCAAACCCTAAGACCCAAAACCCTACGACCCTAAACCTTAAAATTCTAAATGTTTAAACCCTAAACCCGAAACCCTAAACCCAAAGCCCGAAACCCTTAACCGTAAACCCTAAACCCGAAACCATGCCCCACCAAGGCCCGACAGCACGCGCCCCGTTGCCTTCATGGCAGCCGAGACAGCAGCTTTGCAAAGAAGGGCTCTTCCAAAGTCGATAAGAGTTGAGAGCTTTCGGTTTGAGTTTAGGGGTTTCGGGTCTGGGGTGCGTCGGGGGCGGGGGGGGGGAGTCTTGTTTATGCGAGAAGTGGAGGCATGTGACCTGTTCCTGGGCAGGGTTTCACTGCATTTGTCGATCGTGGGTTGAAGATGTCAGGGGTTTGGCGGATGAAAAAGTGAGACCAACGGTAGCAGCCAGAAGAGAGGTAGCGTGCAGGGATGGAAAGCATTAGGAGGAGAAGGAAGTGTAAAAAGGGAATAGAAATGAAGTGAAAGGTCAAAAGCAGCAGGACTGACGATGATGTCGGCAACGCCTGCGGACAGTGCTACTGCTTTCCCGTCTCGCACTCTGAAGACTTTCTAAATCTCCTGCTTCTGGTGCGGTTGCTGGAAAGCTCAAAACTATCAGCCTGATGGTCCTGATGAACATGTTGCCCGTGTGATCCACGATAGTGCTGATGGCCATGCATAGTGATGACGGGGAGCATGACACTCATGATTTCGATGTGCAAGGTGATCAATGGTGAGCTGGTGATTCTGGTGCTGATGATGGCAATAATGATGATGGTTGATAGTTGCCACGAGGATGGGGATAAGGATGCTATGAAGGTGATGAGGATGATTTGCTTAGGAGGAGGAGGAGGCGAACGGAGTTGAGAAGGAGGAGGAAGACTGCACTGGTTCCGTGTGCTGGTGACGGATCCATGTCAACATGGTGATAGTCCTTTCATGGTGGGAATGCTGGTGATGGTGTCGTGGGCGGTATTGTGATGCTGCCACGGTGATATTCGGGATGGTGGAAATAACGACAGTGATGCTCATGTTGGTGATGACGATGGCGGTGATGATGATGGTGATGGTGACGGTGATGGTAGCGACACGGTCATGATGAAGATGCCTACGATCTGTTTTGCTGCCTTTCATTGTTGTGATGTACCAGGACGAAAGACCTGAGGCCTGAGGAAGTAGGTACCTTTGTATTCGGGGTCGGCTTGGGAAGCATACTCGTGTCTGAAGCCTCCAGTCTCCGAGGAACCGTCAGAGTGGTTTCCGTGGAATCCCTTACGCTTCCAGATGTTAAGGCGCGCCCCCGGGCCCGGGGGCTGCGGCTGTAGCCTTAGGATGCAGGATCTCTTAATGATTAGAATAGGGTTTTGGAGTTACTAAGTTACAGTATAATATACCCCCCCAAACCCTATTCTAATTTTAGGATCTCTTAAGGGTTCGCTTCAGGATTCTGGTCTCTGCGGTCTTTTCAAGAGCCTGTCGCCCAAGCGCCCTGAGGACTTTGCTGTTCCGCGCCCCCCCCCCTCCCTAAACCCAAACCTTAAACCCTAAACCCTAAACCCAATTTTTCCAGCCATTTGAGTACAGTTGGCACTCGGATCGAGACTTCCTGGGAGATAAGGGGAGAAGGGCGCCTGCTTTCAGACTTGCTGCTCAGGCCCATGGGCTGCGTTGGCTTTTAGGCTCGAGATCAGAGGCATTCAGAGAGCAGGTTGAGGGACCACAGAAAGCAAGCTATGGCGAAGGCTGCGCGTGTGATTTCGATCCTGGCCGTGGGAGTTTGTTTCTGCAGCCTCCCAGCCTTTGTGCCCGGGCCTGCTCGCCCAGCTCGCAGCATGGCGCCCGCAGCTGCAGGGGCGCTGAGCATGCTGGGCGCAGCGCCTGCTTTTGCGGACAAGATCGACGACGCAGCAAAGGTGCTGTCCGAGAAGTCTTACCCCTTCTTGAAAGAAATCGACTGGACCTCCGACGTCTATGCCAAGCTCCCCACCCAGCCTCCTCTCCAGGTGCTCAAGGCGATCAACACGATGTTGAAGATGGGTGCGTCCATGGACTCCGCAGCTCTGAAATCGGGTGTTCTGGCTCACAGCAAGGCCATTGCCGGCATGGACTCCAAGGGTGTCGCGACTCTTGCCGACTACACTGCAATTAATGCGGCCATCGGGCATATGATCGCTTCGGTGCCTGCATCCCAGACCATGGACGTGTACAATGCTTTCAACAAGTTCAACCTTGGCAAGGACGTGGGCCCTTACATGATGTCCAAGGTAAATGCGGCGGATGCCAAGGCAGCTTACCAGGCATTGATGGACTTCAAGGATGTGGTCAAGGCGTCCCAGCGCTGAGCCTTCTTTTTGATACTCTTGAACATGCGCGAGATGCGTCGCATGATCTCATACACTTTCTAAGCGCATGCAGGCAGCTAGCCTGTAAACAAATTTAAAGGCTGCTGCCGCAAAAGCATTGTTCAACGATGACAACGTTTATCGGACATCGCGATTTGTTCAGCCGGAAACAGCCCCAGCTGTGAGTCATTTTGTGGTGTCTGGAGGTGCCTTCTGCCGCTAGGAGAGGCCGACATGCAGTGGTTGCAGTCCCTCGTGGTGCATGTAGGAGTAGCATCTTGTAACACTGCGAACCCGGAGCCCCAAACCCAAGCCCCGACTATGAAGATCATTGGGGCTCAAGGCCTAAATCCAACGCACAGGTCTCGGCTCCAGAGGCCGTGGGGAACCTCCTCTAAACCCCGAACAAGCTCATGCACGGACTTTCTGAAACCTGAAGCCCTAAACCATCCTAAACCCTGAACCCCAAGACCCACACGGCAGTCCCCGAGTTGCCTTTGACTTTGGAGACAAGGCTCGCTGGAAGGAAGGTTCTGGACGCTCTATGGAAGTTATGAAACTCTGACACCATTGACTCTGCAACCCTTCACCTCGACCCCGCAACCCAAACCCCTGAAGCCTAACCCCCTGAACTGCCCTAAACCCGGAAGCGCGGATTGTGTCCCAAACCTTCCCAAACCTTCTCCCCTAAACCCTAAAGCCTAAACCCCAAACCCAAAACCCAAAACCCTAAACCCTAAACCCTAAACCCCAAACCCGCAACCGCAAAACCGCGAAACCGCCGTGGCAGGAAGCTGGAGGATGCTCCGAGGAATCAGGGCCGCGTGCTGTGACCCGGCCATGACGAGACCCTTGGTTAGTAGGGAATAGGGCTCCTTTAAAGGGATCTATAGGGGTTTAGGGTTCCTTTAAAGGGATCTATAGGGGAATAGGGCTCCTTTAAAGGGATCTATAGGCGTTTAGGGCTCCTTTAAAGGGATCGGGGTTTAGGGTTCCTTTAAAGGGATCTATAGGGGAATAGGGCTCCTTTAAAGGGATCTATAGGGGAATAGGGCTCCTTTAAAGGGATCTATAGGGGAATAGGGCTCCTTTAAAGTATAGGGGAACAGGGCTCCTTTAAAGGGATCTATAGGGGTTTAGGGTTCCTTTAAACGGATCTATAGGGGTTTAGGGCTCCTTTAAAGGGATCTATAGGGGTTTAGGGTTCCTTTAAAGGGATCTATAGGGGTTTAGGGTTCCTTTAAAGGGATCTTTACCTTTGGTTAGTGGGGAATGGAGGAATGGGGTATAATGATAACTACTGTTACTACCATTCTTCCATTCCCTGCTAACCAACGGTAAGTGACGAGACGTGTTTGAGACGTTGGATTTCACCTTGAGCCCCCGGGCCCTGAACGCCTTGAGCCAGACAAGGCGAAAAAGACCCAAAATCCTAATCCCATTGTGCTGATGGGGAAAGAGGACGCGCAGAAGCAATGACTTCCACCTCAGACTGACACCCCTAATCTTAAAAACGCAGGGGTAAGACTCAACTGTGCTAGCTCAGGTTGATGCGCGACACCTCTACAGCCATGTTGGTGGCCGTGAAGCAGGCTGGATTCGCAGGTTAGGGTTCATGGCTTGGGATTTCAGTGAGATCTAGGAAAGGGGGTCTCAACCCTAAGCCCTAAACCCCAAACCGCTACACCCTGAACCCTAAACCCCAAACCCCAAACAACCTAAGCCCCGACAGGTTCCGGGTTGACTGACCTTAAGCCTTGGTAGTCTTAGCTTGTTTCTGGTCCTAACTAGCGAAGCCTCTTCTGGGCCCGAGAGGGTTCTTCAGAGTTCAAGAGCTCCACTTTGAAACTTTAAGTTGGAAGGTGGGCTCGTGTTCTTTGTTCCATTTAGGTCAGGTTTAGAACAAGTTTCGGGCTACAGGGATTATGGTTTAGGGTGTAGGCTTGTGTGGGTATCATTGCTGTGGCAGCTTCTTCACGTCGCGATATGTTGCTGTAGGCTCAACTTGGTCGACGAAAGCCAATAGGCTCAGGATGATAGGGCGTGGAGGCTTAGGATGTTGCTTAAAGGCCTAAGGACCCTCCGGCAAGGACAAGAAATAATACTCTTGGAGAAAACTTCCCCATCGTTGTCATCGTTCTTCATTGGGTGCTGGTGGTTTCTTGGGGGTGGTGGGGATGTTTTGGTGGTGGGAGACAAGGATTCCGGGTAAGCTCTATTTGCTTCCCTAAACCCTAAACCCCTAAACCCTTGAACCCTCAGTTTGAGGGTTTTGACAGAACCCGAAACCCCAGCATCATAAGGACCTTTACGGAGTAGGGCGAGGGGGGGTAGGGGGCCTTTTGTGCCCACAATAAGGACCTAGTAAGGCCTATTTAAGGAAGTTTTGCTTAGAGGGGCCCCCACCCTGTAATGGTATCATAGGAATATAACAGGGCCGTAATCTAATCCTTATAGTCACTATTACAGGGTGGGGCTTCTAAAGTATAGCTGTACTTCCCTATGATCGCAGTCCGCTCCTCCGAGGTCCCCAGTTGGTGGATGCAGGAGAATCAGAGCAAGTTTCGATCCGTGTATCCGTACGAGACTGAAATGCGCCGCGGCCATCGAGTTCATTCCAGGATTTCCCCAACAGAAATTGGCAAGCTTCCCGGGATTTAAGCAGGTCACGATTACGAGTACTGGGGTAAGCCGTTCTTTGGCAAAAGCCTGCAATGTCGGCAAAATGCAGATTTGGCCTTCTTGTTGCTCTGAAGCGTTGAACCCTTCTATTCGGTTGAACTCCCCAGCCAAACCATGTCTGCAGGCATGTCTCGTGAGACTGGCACCTGTCTGTCCATCGCAGAGGCTTGAGGTAAGCACAGATCCAGTTAGTTTGGTTGGTGTCTTCATGCTGTTGGGCACCATCATAATTCGCGAGGATCCCGACCATCTCCCTCAACGCATGTGCACATCACCTCGACATGTGCATGGGTGTTGTACTACTTACTGCCTACATTGACCCGCAGCAGTGAGTCGCCGCAGAGGCACACAACTGGCATTTCTGTTCTCTGCGGTTCATGTGTAAATCTGACGCCACACCCAATGTAGGAACCTGATTAAGAAACCTTGGGCCTTTATCAGGGTGCCTTTTCTGAATCCTACTATTTTGGGGTTGTAGGCCCAGGATTTCTTAATCAGTTTCCTACATCAGCATCTGCAACAGTACCCAAGTGTGCAACGCAAGACGCGACCCAAACTCCTCTCATCCTTGGTACCCAAGTCATAGAGCCCAATTACTTGGAGGATCATGGGACTTAGTAAGGTTATAGGTACCTTAAATGGGGTTATAGGTAATTTCAAGTATAGTTGCACCCACATCCCCGAACCCCCAGCCATAAAGCCTGAAGTGCCCAAACCCCAAGCCCTGAACCCTAAACCCTAAACCCTAAACCCTGAACCCTGAACCCTGAACCCTAAACCCTAAACCCTAAACCCTAAACCCTAAACCCAAACCCCTGAACCACTTGAGGAGAGCTGACAGTCTGGAGCCTTGGTGGAAGCCTCTCACTCGAGCCCGGTTTACTGAAGCCCCGCAGAAAGCTACCAACCCAGAGACTCCATTATCTAGGATGCCCAGTAGTACCCTTATTCCCTTTTTGTAGTCCTAGGTTCCTTATAAAGTTACCCAATACCAAAAAGAGAGGCCTTTTTATTCTTAGGTTACTGGGTATCCTAGCTAGGGAATCCGGAATATACCTTAGGTTATCTCAGGGATCCTATTATAATTGAAGGAGTGTTCCTTCATCAAGGGATATTGGAGTCCCCCAAACCCTAAAGCCAATATAGATCCCTTATAGGAACCCGTAAAGAAACTGTTGAAATGGATATTGGAGTCCCTGGCAAGCTGAGGCCGTGGATGGACGTGGCTTACCTGGCTTTCCTGAACCAGGTGCCCGGCAGCTTTGGTGCAGAGCAAAACAAAGTGTAGGTTAGTATGATATAGTATGGTATGGTATGGTATGATGTAGTGTAGCATAGTGTAGATGGTATAGTATAGTAAAGTATAGTGTAGTATAGTATGATATAGTCTAGTACACTATCTTGTAGAATAGCATGAGCCTAGCATCGCGTAGCATAGTCATAGTCAAGTGGAGTAGAGTATAGGACAGGGTAGTATGACGATGTAGAATTTAGAGGTTAGAGCTTCGGACTTAGCGGGCTAGGAGTCACTGCTTGGGCCATCAGCCCTTTATCAAGCAGCAAGCTTGTGACCTAGGTGTGGGAATATGAGGCGATCAAGGCAAGCAAAACGTTAGTATGCTGAGCAGGTATCTTGCATCCATAGGGAGAGCCTGTCAAATTTGTGTTGTGAAGACAGGGACCCTTTGCCGACCTGCCGAAAAGGGTTCTTCTCTCCGACGGGAGTTAAACGGAAGACCTAGGCTTTTTGAACAAACTAGAAACCGTCCGGATGACAAAGGTCGCACGGGACTGTGGTGGTGTTTCGGGTTGAAATCAGGGTTCGCGGTTTAGCGTGGTAGCAGTACTTGCCCTAAACCCTAAACCCTAAACTCTAAACCCTAAACCCTTGGACCAAGAGCACGATCTGCCGGCACACGCCGCAAGGGCGGCCAGCTTTTTGCAAGCTTTGCAAGCCGCAGGTTGGATATCACTGGGCCTGCTCTTTGTTGGGAGTCTACCGTGACGACACCTGCACGTACATTGCAGGGGCCCTGCCGGTGAAGTTGTTTAGGGCCTGGGCCTGGGGTACAGGGCCGGTTAGTTTGGGCTAAGGTTGGGCCTGGGCTTCGGGTTCTTAGGCCTCAGGCTTGGAGTCAAGGGTCTATCAGATCTAGTAGAGTTTGCTATTCAGTTGGGTCTAGGATTGGAAGGTTTCAGGGTCAAGAGCAGGAATCTAAGGCCATCGTGTTACGGTTCCTCTCATACGGCTTCAGCAAGGCTTGTTAGTGGAGCTTGTTCGCACTGCCGGGCGAAGGATCCTTGATGCAGGGGGTTCAGGGTTTGGGGTTTAGGGCTAAATGCCGCATGCAAGCCTGCCAGCCGGATTCTCTCCAGGAACGCGGTAAAAGCTTGAATGTCCCTGCGCGATGTCTGGCAAACACCTCTGCAAGGGATGCTGATGATATAAATCCTGCACTACCCATAGTATGGATTTATTCCATAATTCCCATAGTTCAGGGTCCCAAAATAAGGAAAATACCATAATTCCCATAGTTTAGGGTCCTTAAGGGGACCCTAAGCTATATGGGACTTATGGTATAATTCCTTACTATGGGTGATGCAGGATTTAAATCATCAACCGTAGAGCCAGCCCCGGGCTGGGTAGTCAGTGTGTAGTTTTAATAATTAATAATAGTAATAATAGTAATAATAAGAATCAAAGTAATAATACTAACAGCAATAATAATAATAGTAATGATAATAGTCGTAATAATAATTACGACAAGCTGTGCGTAGTATTTCTCGTGTGGCTTGGTGCTTGCAAAGGCGGTTCTTCTCGTGAGTCGTGTCCCTCGTAGCGCCAGCACCCGGGGCCAGAGACTGGGATGAGAAGGGGGTGGGAACTCCCAGAGAGCCCAATACCCCTTAATTAAGCAATATACCTTAAATTATAAGGGGCTTCATATTATGATTTAAGCTATATTCCTTAATTAAGGGGTATTGGGCTCTCTGGGCTGGAGAGGAATAGCGTGTTCGAGGCCGGATTCAAGCCCTGAGAGCAAGGCAGGAGAGGGCAGCGCGAAGGAGCGGTGGGTGTGGGTTGACGAGGGCGTGGCAAGAAGGCCCAAGCGGGGGTAGGAACAGAAGGGCGCCTTCTTTCAGCCTTGCTGCTCAGGCCCATGGGCTGCATTGGCTTTTAGGCTCGAGATCAGAGGCATTCAGAGAGCAGGTTGAGGTACCTCAGAAAGCAAGCAATGGCGAAGGCTGTGCGCGTGATTTCGATCCTGGCCGTGGGAGTTTGCTTCTGCAGCCTCCCAGCCTTTGTGCCGGGGCCTGCTCGCCCAGCTCGCAGCATGGCGCCCGCAGCTGCAGGGGCGCTGAGCATGCTGGGCGCAGCGCCTGCTTTCGCGGACAAGATCGACGACGCAGCAAAGGTGCTGTCCGAGAAGTCTTACCCCTTCTTGAAAGAAATCGACTGGACCTCCGACGTCTATGCCAAGCTCCCCACCCAGCCTCCTCTCCAGGTGCTCAAGGCGATCAACACGATGTTGAAGATGGGTGCGTCCATGGACTCCGCAGCTCTGAAATCGGGTGTTCTGGCTCACAGCAAGGCCATTGCCGGCATGGACTCCAAGGGTGTCGCGACTCTTGCCGATTACACTGCAATTAATGCGGCCATCGGGCATATGATCGCTTCGGTGCCTGCATCCCAGACCATGGACGTGTACAATGCTTTCAACAAGTTCAACCTTGGCAAGGATGTGGGCCCTTACATGATGTCCAAGGTAAATGCGGCGGATGCCAAGGCAGCTTACCAGGCATTGATGGACTTCAAGGATGTGGTCAAGGCGTCCCAGCGCTGAGCCTTCTTTTTGATCCTCATGAACATGCGCGAGATGCGTCGCATGATCTCATACACTTTCTAAGCGCATGCAGGCAGCTAGCCTGTAAACAAATTTAAAGGCTGCTGCTGCAAACGCATTGTTCAACGATGACAACGTTTATCGGACATCGCGATTTGTTCAGTCGGAAACAGCCCCAGCTGTGAGTCATGTTGTGGTGTCTGAATTTGCCTTCTGCCTGCAGTCCCTAGTGGTGCATGTAGGAGTAGGAGTAGCATCTTGTAACAGAAGGCCAAGGAGGTGACATGCAGAGGATCTCTGCCGAAATAGGCAGTTGGAACATGCTCAGTCACCTTGGAGGATCAGGGGACTTAGTAAGTTAGGCTATAGGCTATAGGTACCTTAATTGGGGTTCTGGGCAAGTATAAGTATGGTTGCCTTAAGTATAACCCTAGTTACTAAGTCCATGATCCTCCTTCTAGAACCCTTATAGATCCCTTTAAGGAACCCTATTATAGAACCCTATAGAGTACCCTTAAAAGGAGCCCTGTCTGTATAAGCGGAACTCCGCTAGCGGCAGCCTCCCGCCTCTTGCTCCGGTTTTGAGTCTGAGGGGCTCAGGTCCGGGTTAAAGCTAGGGTTTAGGGTTTCGGTTTGGGGGTTTAGAGTTTAGGGATTAGGTTTGGGGTTTGGAGTTTAGGGTTTAGGGATTAGGTTTTGGGGGAGTCTGGAGCGGAGCTGGTCTTCACTGCAAACCTTGCGCGCTGTCGGGACGTCGAGCACCCAGGGTTGTACTTGCCGTGTTGATCTTACCTTACCTTAAGTTAGTTGCCCTGGCGTCGTGGTCCTAGACTGACAGCCTCCTCCTACAAAGCACTGGCGAAGACCTGTCAAGACCTGCAAATATTCTGAGAGGCGCTACAACAGCATGCCTGCCCGTTAAAACCCGAAGCCGCATCACTGTCCTGTGCCCAGACCCGCCAAGTACCTTCTAAGATACCTCAAATACTCACTAATAAGGACCATAAGGGCCCGATTACGGGGTACTTGGGGGTCTTGGTGAGAAGATCAAACCCCAAACCCTGAACCATCAACCCCAAACCCTAAGCCCTGAACCATCAACCCTAAACCCTCAACCAACCCTAAAACCCTAAACCCTAAACCCTCAACCCTGCACCTCAACCCTAAACCCTAGAAACACCCTCAACCCTAAGCTCCTCTTGAGGTTACGTCTTTGGCATCGCATGGTGATCTCTTCTTGTGGAGCTCCCGACTACAGATGGAGCCGGGCCCGACCAGAGAGGCCCCCGGGCCCTGGGGTTTCAATGGCTGCTTACTAAGTTGTTTTGATATGTTTTGATGGGCTTTTAAATCGAGTTACCAGCTTTATGCGGTTTTGAAAAGGTTTTATGTGCGATACGGTTTGAAAGAATTTTTTGCAGTGATTTAAGGTAGGTTCTTAGGGAGTGAGGGAGTGAGGGAGACGCAGAGGTGGAGAGGGGGAGGGAGGGGGAGTGAGGGAGAGGGGCTGAAACGGAGCTTCTTTTGTTCTCTATGGGTTCTTCAAGAGATTAGGGGCAGAGGCTTAGCTTTCGTGTTTACGGTTTGTGAGCTAGTATGGGAATATGTGGGTTTGGGGTTTTGCGTGTAAGGGTTTCTGGGCTGAAGTATGGCTGACTTGAGACCAGTGGGAAAAAAGGTTTTCTGGGGTTACGGCTTACGAGTTTAGCGTTTCCGGGGGGTGTTGGGGGGGGATAGTACCTTCTTCTGGGGTTCCTTATTCTACTTCTGGTAGAATATACCCCGAAACGCTACTCTATTTATGAAGGCCCCTATATTATAATACCCTTATAGAAACCCTGATCGATCGCTTTAAAGAGGAACCCTATTCTAATTGTGAAGGCCCCTATACTGTAGCACCCTTATAGGAACCCTTATAGACCCCTTTAAAAAGGAACCCTATTCTAACTATGAAGACCCTCTTTTTTAGGATTTCGTCTTCGATTGTTCACAGCTCCGGAGCGACTCCCGGCTCGAGTTCCTCTGCACGGCCTTTCCGTGATCCTTTGTTGGTTTCAAGGGCCTCCTTTCAGCACTCCTTCCAGGGCTCCTTCAAGGGCTCCTTTCCGGGCTCCTTTGAAGGGTTCCTTAAAGGGCTCCTTTCAAGGCTCCTTTGAAGGCTCCTTTCAGGGCTTCAGTCCGTCGCTAAACCCCAAGCGTGGCTGAAGGGATGAAGGTTCAGAAGTTAGCTTGGAGGGCATCCTATTTCGCCACGTTCCGTTTACTTTCTGTCTCTGGGTGAGTAAAGACCCACGCGGTTGGCTGGGTTTTTGGGAGCTGGATGTTTGAATTGATGACATCTTCGGTCCAAATCGTCGAGTTGAGCTGGCGGGTGCAGATATGGAGCCAAATCCGGGATGCTGCGCCCCACTCAAAACACCCCAAATACCTGGAATTTGAGTTGTGCCCGTCAGGCGACTGTCCAGCCGCTGGCAGTGCAGATGCTGAAGGCCGTGCAGGAACTCCATGATCTGTGCCTGGACTTCCGAGACCTGTTTTTTCGGGGGCGCGGATGTTGCAGGTGAGGCCCTGCTGCTTGAGTGGTTACCCTAACTAAATATCGATTTCGGATAAGTTTTAATTATGAGCCTTTTTTGGGACGGTTGAAATCGGCACCTTGGCTAAGGTCGCAGGGCAAAGGCAGTTGAATCTCTGTGAAGGAAGCTTCAGAAGCCAAGGGCGTCTTCACAGCGAGCCCTTTAGAACAACATCTGCAACTCTCTCAAACCCTGCGATAGCCTGGACCGGAAATCCTAACTCCTAAAACCCTAAACCTTAAATCCTAAACCCTAAAGCCTAAACCCTAACTCCTAAACTGGAGCATGTGACTTTACAGGCATCTGAAGGTTTCAAGGCCCTGAGCGATTGCGAAAGCAATCCGTCCCAGCTGGAAGGGCAGAGCCCTGACCCCGAGACGGGCGAAGCCCTGACCAAACCCAAAGACGAACTTCCAAAGACCATAAGCCCGAAACCCCATGAGAGGGGAAAGCACTGGGATAGGAGTTTCTATTGTGTCGGGGGCCTTTACAGATTCCAAGTGTTTCCGTGGTGGATGGAGGATCTCCTTTGACTCCAATGCCCGGGCGGGATGTCCTACCTGTCCTTCTCGAAACCAAAACGCAAGCGCCGTGCCCTAATCACTCTTGAAGACTTGGCCCAAGCCATAAACAGGAAACGCATAAACTCCCAAACTCTTAGGCATTCGGAGCCACGTTGTTCATGGGGTATTTTGAGCTGTGTAGGGAACCCTCAAAGGGAAACCATAAAGCAACCCTCAGAGGAATCCCTTACAGGAGCCTCAGCGGAGCCTTTACGGCATTTGTCACTGAGGTCAATAGCACACCGAGATCTGTCCTGTGAAAACATCCTCGTGACTCAGGCGCTTGAGGGTTGGGGGCCGGGTACTTCATGTATAAGTCAGAAGCCTGACGAATTTGTAGTACGACTCCGTAGAAGTTTCTTTAAAAGCAAGTATAGTATAATGCACCGTATAGAACCAAGACCCTAGTCCAGCGAATAAAGCTCCGTTATCATTAGCATGAGCCAGTGCTTCGTCTCTGCTTCTGATGCGACGTTGCATGGAACTTTTGCTTAGCGCTCAGCCTGCACCCTTACTACTATAGTATAAGATAGTAATAACTTTATGATATACTACAGTTGCTATAGTACTAAGATTGCTACAATGGTGCTGAGCCGTTCTTTCTTGCGAAGGCTGCAGAAAGGGTGGGGCTGAGCAAGACGGCGGATGCTATGCTAGGTAGTATTATTAGGGAGACCCCTTAAAGGGTACCCCTTCTGAACCCTACTTCTGGCTCTCTTAAAACGGGCCTTATTGAGAGGGTCTATATCCCCAAGGGTCCCCCTAATCCTAACTCCCATTTCCGAAAACAGAGGACCCTAATATAGTACCCTAAGTAGTAGGATCCTTATCATAAGGACCCCAAAATAAGGTAACTCCCATATGCGGCGAGGCAGAGCCGAAGAGAAATCCTCAACCACTGCAGTATTCTCGGGCTCGGAAGGCTCAGTAACACTACTCCTTTGGGGGCTCCTTATCACAGCTCGTGTATGATATGGGCCCCTGTAAGCTCTGTATCCTAAGCTCCGTATGGAACTTCTATAGAACCCTAAGAAAACCCGTATATAGAAGGAACCTTTGAAGCGAAAACTCGAAAGAAGTCCTCCGAGCTCGGCGTCCCGAGACTGGGATCTCGCAGCTTTGGTCGCTTAAAGGAACCCTTAAAGGAACCCTTAAAGGATCCCTTAAAAGAACCCTTAAAGGATCCCTTAAAGGATCCCTTAAAGGAAGCCTTAAAGGAGGGAGTCCTTCACTGCTTGGTGCCTGTAGACCGAGTTAAGAAAAGTGCTATAAGCATGTATACATGTGGTATGCGCCAGACACACATGCAAACATATGTATATTATATATGTATGTACGTAAAAGTGCGAATCTTGTGTCCGCAGTTAACTCACGTTGGAATGACGCGGCTGGTGCAGGTTCAGGTTTGGGATTTAGTTTGTAGGGACTTCTATCTATAGTTGCCAAATCGATCGTCAAGTAACTTCACTACGCAAGCATTGTTTCGAAGGTTTAGGTCTTGTGTGCTCGTGCTTTATCCGGCAGCGCGAGTTATGAAAATCTCACAGTTTGCATGTCTCAGATGGATGATCTGAGCATCCTGTCGCCTGCGCAGGTAGACGACATTCTGGAAGTCCGTGTTATAGATTTCGCTGCGGCGTGTGGATCACGCCCCGTGTCCTGTTCTAGAGCCGGGCTGCTGAAATCTGAAGCTTCTGCCCCAGACTGCCGGAAACAGTGGCATTCAAGATGTCCCTGAAGCCGACACCTTCCCTGCAAACTCCTGAGAAGCATCATTGTTTGAGGGTTATTGTTTTATGGGGTTTCATGGGGTTTCAGCGCTCCGGGTTGGGGGGTTGGGGAATTTGCGGCAAGATTTCGGAAGAGGCCCGGAAGCCCGTTGTTGTGCCTGTGCTTGGCTCTCCACAAGCCAAGAGGACGCGCTCGTAGCTGTTGTCGCCTCTTTGCCGGTGGAGCTGTTGTTCTTGTTGCAACCTTACTTGTAGCCGGTGTACTTATGGTGAGTAATGCTTGACGCGCCCAGCACTGCCCGTTGAGACAAACCTGTCTTTGTTGTTTCAATGGCAATGCCACGGAATTGCCCATGGTAGTACAAACGACACATGTAGAACAAACCCTACATGCACGGGCTCTTGTCCTTGTAGGCACGTTCTAATCAATCACCCGAGGATTTTCCAGCGGCGCGCATGGGAAAGACATGTACGTCGCTCCGGAGGTCCACCTAGGTGGCAAGTTTGACACTTTTCTATCGGCCCCTGGGCTTGCAAAAAGAGCATGCCGTGATCCGTTCGGTATTGCATACTGTGTAAAACATGAAATTAGTCGCACCCCTTATATAGTGGCTGTATGTGTATAGTGTATATGTCTGTGTGCGTGTGCGTTGGTGTATGTGTCGGTGTTTGTGTTTGTGCCTGTGTCTTTGTATGCAATGTGCGGTAGCGTAATGTACTGTAATGTAATGTAATGTCTGCATGCATGCATGGTATGTATGTATGTATGTATGTATGTATGTATGTATGTATGATTATGTATGATTATGTATGCATGTATGTATGTACACATGTACGTGTAGTGTTATGTACTTGATATTGCAAAACCATGAGCCTTGGAGCGGCCAAAGGTCTTGCAACGGTGACGAAAGCTCCATACTCGCGGCCGTGAGAAACCCAAAAAGCCGTTTTGATCCGTTACAGGAGCCCTATGAAACCCAAGGGCCGAACTTACTAAGTTCTCTGAACTAGGTAGGGCTTTGGGACATTTACATTTTCTCTTATTGGGCTTAAGAGGATCTTGTTTACTAATATGTTTCAAAGGCTTTAAACGCCCCCGAGTGAATCTTCAAGTGCATGTGGGTTTCCGAGGACGCCTTTGCTCTCGGTGCCTTGGACGATCTGAAGGGGTTCAGCAAAGAGGTCGGAACACTTACAGAGACTATGCCTCCATAGTCTCTGTATGGCAGCAGTATTGCCGACACCCTAAACCCGAAACCCCAAAGCCCCACTCCAAGAATTCAGGGCCCTGTGTTGGAGGCTGAGAGGAGTTTAGGATTCCGGCCAACCGAATCAGGTTTTGTACAAACAAGCCCTGAACGTTCCTTGACCTTACGCCCGCATGAGGGCCAAGTCAGCGCCTATGTGCTCTATGACATTGCATGCTTCTGTATGATACTGTGCTCAATTGGTCATATGGTTCGAAGCTGTCATGCTACAGTTAGGCTGCACTGCGTGTCATGGTACGCAGTGTTCTTCCATAGCTTACTATTTTTGTAAAAATATTCTCCTTGTTGTTGTTGCTGTTGCTGTAGCTCCTGTTGTTGCTGTTGCTGTTTCTGCTGCTATTTCTGTTGCTGTTTCGGTTTCTGTTGCTGTTGCTGTTGCTGCTCGCTGCTGTTGCTGCTGCTGCTGCTGCTGCTGCTGCTGCTGGTTGATCTTGTTGCTGTTGTTGTAGCTGCTGCTGTTGTTGTGGTTGTTGTGGTTGTTGTGGTTGTTATGGTTGTTGTGGTTGTTGTGGTTGTTGTGGTTGTTGTGGTTGTTGTGGTTGTTGTTGCTGCCGGTGTTGTGCCGGTTCCTGCTGCTGATTGTCGGAGTTGTTGGTGTTTTGTGTTTTGTCGTAGTCGTAGTGGTGCTTGATGTTGCAGAGTTGCGGATGCGTTTGTTGTGGTTGTTGTTGCTGTGGTTGTTGTGCGCTCAAGCAATGTACTCTGCCATGCATGACCCGTTTTGTTCCAGTCTAGTTCAAGCCACACAGAAAGACTCGTAAAAGTATTGTGCCGTCCAATGTGACATCTTGCACTGTCGAAACCTTGGCAGCATGGTGCGTTATTCTGTGGGTGCTGGATGTTTCGCCAACTTGCAGAAGGGCTTGCTTATGCTATGCACCTGACACACAGTACCAGTGAGTGATACAAGGCCTGCCTGCAGAGCTGAGGAGCTGAGGTTTCAACGCTCTGGAGGTAGGGTCAGCCTCCCCATCCCCAGATGGAACTCCGAAATCCCGAAGCCCTAACCCTAGGTTTGAACCCGAAATGACTGAAGCCCGAACCCTGCTCTTTAAGCCGAAATCCTGAGATGCAAAGAGGGCCCCGACAAGGATCCTTTAAGACATTCTTCCAGGTGTGATCTTCCTATCTGTTCTCTTGCAGAGGTGCGGAAGGGTCGCTGCACGATGCCTGAACAGTTTGTTACATGTCCCTTATGGTTCCTAGTCATGTTACTGTTGTTACAGTATACCCGGTACTGTAGCTGGTTTCTTTAAGTTTCGCGAACGGTTCTCGTTTAGAGGGTTGGGGTTCCCGGTGAGGCGGCCTTTCCAAAGCTGGATGTGTCAGTTTTCCCAATCGTCCGCACGCATTTGTGAAGTGTTGCCTAGCAGGCAAACCAGAGCACCGCAGGACGTGGGAGTTTCCGAAATTGGGGGTACCTTAGTTTGGGCTCCTTATAATAAGGATCCTATTATTTAGGTTTTTTTTGGGTCCCTATTTTCGATTTTCGGAAACTCCCACGTGACTGCAACAAGCTACAGTGGGCAATGCCAAGGGCCGACCAACACACTTCCTGAGAAGAGCGCAAACGTCTGTTTTTGTTCCATCGCCAAGTCACTGCTCAAGCCGAACTGGGGTTTTAAGGTTTAGGGTTTAGGGTTCAGGGTTTAGGGTTTAGGGCACTATCCCTTTTCTAGGTTACCTACTTTTCTATGTAACAGATCCTCGAAGCCTGAGAGTAAACCAAACCAAACCGGAGGGCTCCGTCCTTTGCGCTGCCAGGTATCCCTGGAACTCAACGAAGCCGGGATGCTGCAAGTCGTTTGAACCCAGGCAACCAGAAGCCTCAACCCTAGGCCGTAAACCTTAAGCTGCAAGCCACCTCAGCAGACGGAAAAAAGGATGACAATAAAAAGCAAGGTCCAAATCCTGAACTTGGTTACTGTAATACGTGAAGCTAGCAGAAGGAGCCCTGGCGACAGCGGCGGTGGGGGAGTGTTTCTTGAAAGATTGCTGACAGTCGTAGCTACTTTGGTTGGAGTTACAAATAACAAAGTAAATGCGTATAACTATAGCCTAGTCACCTTGATGTTGAAGGGTGTTTGCATTATGCGTTTTAAGTAGGTATCTGAGTCCCATGATCCTTGAGCGCAGCCCAGGAATATGTGCGGAAGCATGGCTTGCGAAAGTGCTTCGGTCAGCATATGAGCTTCCTAGACATCGAGAGGTCACGGTTGTTCTGGACTGTGTGCCCTGTTTGGGATCCCCCTGTATGTACCTTGTTGGGATCGCTTGATGAATGATTTTTAGTGGGGATTCCTTTGTTCCCTCCTATCGGCCGTTCCTGCCGCCATCGGTGCCCCAAAAGTTGTAAACATGGGCCGGAATAAATCGACAAGGGCTTTGGGGTACATCATATTGGAAATAGACTAAGGGACCCGATTCTCTTTTTATGAAGGCTCCCATATGGACCGCGCTCCCCCACCCCAAAAATATCCTGCACGCAGAGCCTTGAACACGAATTTTGCCAGTTGGCGAAGATGCCGAAGGCCTTAAGACCTAAACCCTCAGTCGGTCTCCATGTCAAAAATATGTTACCTTTTTGCGTCCCTAATATAGTACGGCACCTAATATTTAGGGTACCCAAAAGGGACTATAATTTTGACAGCCAGCGATGTAGACGAGTGAGACACCTCAGCAGTGGGCTTCTATCCGCCTAGGCTTTCGTGCACGGGCTCTTGCGAAGTTGCCAGATGCTTTTTGCTGCTGTCGCTGTCGCGTGCTTCCGGTTATGATATCACTTGCCGTATGGATGGATGTGAGGATGGCCCCAAAGCCCTAACCCTAAAACCCCAAACCCCAAACGCTAAGCCCAACAATTCAACAAACACAACTGAGCCTTCCGATCGAACTTCCGGTAGACAGGGGCATGACACTCCGAGCCCTGAGCCTTGAACCTGCAACCAGAACCCTGAATCCCAAATCTGGACCTTGCTCCTAAGCCCTAAGCCCTAAACACCGACCAACAAACCGGCAGGTGGAAAAAGGCGTTTAACAAAAAACCTTGAGTCAAACGCTACCCCCCTAAACCCTACACCCTTGAGCCCTTAAGCCCTTAAACCGTTGAGCCCTTAACCCCCTAAGCCCTTGAACCCTTAAACCTTAAACCCCTGATTAACCCTTAATTCCCATCTCCGAGCTCCGGACCACATTCCCTCCTCACCGCCGGAAGCTCGAGAATCCACCCGAACCCTCGACGTAATATAGGGGCCTTAATAATGCGAATAGGGTTCCATTAAAGGGGTCTATAAGGGTTACTAGAAGGGATCTGTAGGGGATCCAGAAAAAGGTGCCGTATTAATTAGAATAGGGTTTTGGGGACCACTATACTGTAGCTATAGTATGGACCCCCAAAATAGTGTTGGTAATTATTTCGGCCCCTATATGAGAGTTCCAGATTCAGGGGCGTTCTTTTGGTTTCGGGTTGGGGAATTTAGGGTGTAGGGTTAACTTTTAGGGTTTGGGGTTGGGTTTGGCGGTTTGGAATAGGACCGGGGATACAGCCAAGACCAACTCCCTAATGGTTCAAAGCAGGAACGGCAATGACGGTAACGCTAAGCCTGTCGACCAAGGCAGAATGAGTACTATAGGGGCCTTATTAATTGCCCATACTATTTTGGGGGTTTCAAAACCCTATTCTAATTATTAGGGTCCCTAGGAAAGTAGATGAGAAAAATGTAGACGGTAGGCTGATAGATAGAAGAGTGTCATCACAAAGAGTGTTTGAGCACAGGACTATTAAGACTAAAGTTGGAGCCATGGTTCCGAATGAGGAAACGTGAACAGTGCAATCAAGGTAAGGATCCAGCCTTTATCTGCCTTTCCTGTAGCTTGTGTTTGCCTTACATTCAAGCTCAAGCTGTGGTCGGGCAAAGAAAAGAGGGTTTCAGGACCAATATATCAATACAGGATTCACGCTAAGATTCCCAAGACCAATGCTAAGGCTAGCAGCCATCGCCGCTGGTAGCAATGTTAGCAATGATGGATGATGCGAATCAGCATCGTGAGAGTATCCGCGCCCAATCATCTCCGAAAGCCGGACACCCTAAACCGCAAACCATAGAATCCTAGAGCCTAAACCCTAACCCTTACACCCTAAACCCAGAGCTACAGGTACTTGATGCGCCGGAAGCTCTCAGGAACGAGCCTGACCTTCGCAGATGCGATATCTGAGACCTGGCACGATGCACGGTTCAAGGCTTTGGCTTTTGAGACGGAACGGATGTAGACTAATGTGTACCTGTTTGTGTATTGACATATGCATATATATATATATATATATGTATAGATACAGATATGGTATAGATATCTAGATATGCAAATGTTTCAGGTGTGTGCGCCTGCGTGTGTGTTACACACATACCACACGTGTGCATATCTTTGCGTGGCTAGATAAGTACACGGACAAACAACTGCATCTCTGCCAATCACTAGCTAACTACATAGAAAGTAGATGTATATGTGGACGGGCTTTGCGCTAGTGCTGGCCCTAAACCCTAAACCCTACCCTAAACCCTAAACCCCTAAACCGTGCATTTGGTTCCGGTGCGGGGCGTCGGGCCTGTTCGGGCCACAGGGTTGAGTCATCGCTCAGCAGGGCAAGGATTTTAGGGGCCCACTGGCAATAGGGGCTCTAAACCCCAAATAAGTCCCGAACCGTGAGGGGTAATATAGGGGCCCTAACTCTAAACCCGAAACCCCTAAACCCTAAACCCTAAACCCTTGGCTTGCCACAAGCCCCTCCACCGGCAAATCCGCCATTCAATCCGCCCAACTCGCTGCCCAATTTCCCACCCCCACCGCCCAGTGCCGTTGCGCATTTCCAAGCAGCACCCACTGCCGTTGCGCATTTCCAAGCAGCACCCCTTCGTCGAGCAGCGGGCCAGGTGCTGGACAGAGTCCTGACCCGCTTCTTGGACGATGTGCGAAGCCTGCTCTTACGAGCATGGCGCCAGGCAGTGCGGCCTGTCTGCCGACAGTGGCGATCAGGGCATTGCCGATATGGAAGGTCTGTTTTGATGTTGACACCGACGTTGTGCATGCGACAGTGTTGCTTTGCTTTGCTTTGCTTTGCAGGTGGTGCCGGTACCGGCATGTATGATGAACATGGTGCACACATGCCACGAGCAGCCATGATTCTGCTGGCAGCAAGCCGACGCTTCTATAATCGCACCCACTGTAGCTGTGGTCTCGTAGCCCCAAATATGGTCGAGCATCCTGAATCGAAAGTGTTGTGCTTCGTGCCTTTGCAGTGCCTGGTTCCCGGAGGCTTGAATTTGGCCCTTTTATACGCAGTAGGCGAAAATGAGCATCATTGGAAAAGAAGTCACACATAAGTCACAATGGCAGGTTCTGTCCAAGACCCCCTGCAATCTATGGCAATTTGTGGGGCCTTGAGCAGATTGGCTTGCATGTGTGTGCTGTAGGCGACTGAGCGACGGTACCAAGAGAAACAACATCAACAACAACGCGGCCTCGTCGTCCAGCGACCCAGTAGTACAAGATTCTGGTGCGACATCGTCCTCTTCGCAGCCGTCGAACACGGGTTTTTACAAAAAAGGTGTCTGGCAAGCAAGGGAACGCACAGATGATGAAAGGAAGTGGGCAGCTGGCGGACAGGGCAAACAGCGACAAGACAAAAGAGCAGCACGAATGAAACAATGGGCTGATGGCGAATGGATACCTAGCTGGCTCAAGAAATTTTTAAGAGGAAAAACCAGAACGTGATCGCCTTCGTCAACAAGTTCATGGTGCAGATGCCAAGGATGAAAATGAGCCGCCTGCGGACGAGGATGATGTGTTGGAACTATGGCAGTGGCCCACTACCTCCCATGCACAGTACTTGGAGGACGACGTGACATCCTTCATGGAAAGACCGGGGTTGACTTCACAGGAGTACGTGGACTTGATCAATGGTGGCATCCCTGCTCACCTCGCCCGGCGTCTTGAACAGCTACTTCGTCGATATGAAGAATTCCAAAGCCGTGACTATGGTCCACAAGCTCGCTGGGCTTTGGGACGATGGCTGGTGACAAGTCAGGTGGGAGCAGGGGCGCAAGACCGGGCAGAAGAACCTATCCAGTCTAGATCCAGGGATGCCAGACACTACCCTCTGCGACGCGAACCACAATGCCAAGAACTTCGGGATGAACTACTTCGTTGGACGGAAGAAATTATACATATTATGGCGGATATCTACTTGTATGGTGCCAATAGTGCTCACCCTGGGGAACTTCGTCCTCTACCACAACCACTGACAGTTGCTGATGTTCTTGCCCCGCCTAGTACACCTGTGGGAGGAAATTCCAACCATGTGGGACATGTGGTTATGCTAGCTGACCTGCAGCCGTCTACGTCGTCCAGACCGAGATCGCGAAGTCGGCCCAGGATGTCAAGCAGGGAACAGGATGATGATGTCACTGCTTTGATGGACTTGGGTGGACGTGATGCTGGACGTGATGGTGGAGAAGGAGATGAATCTGTTGATGACGCCCGCTCTGTTGATGGTGGAACAGAGGGTGAACATCCTGATAGTGGCAGTGAAGCCATGGATGCTGGTGTTGCCACAGCTCCCCCTCACGCTGGTGCTGGTGCTGGAATGGGCCCTCCTCCTTTCTTGGGGCCCATGTCACTTTCGGCACTTCAATCTGCGGAAGATCGTCATTACGACTTGTTTGGTGAAGAACAAGAGTTTGCTGACCGTGCTTGGCTGATCGAACAAGCAGTGCGCTCGGCCATGTATGGGCTAAGCAGTGGTTCGGCGAGGGAGGTGGTGAGAAGGTTGCTATTGCGACAGCAACACCTTGCCGAAATCCAGTACTGGCTCAACAGGGCGTTGCAGCAAGCCCTGCGGTGCTGTCCTGCGGCAGAGACAGATATTCATTGGGACGTGGTGAGAAATAAGGAGGATGGCATCTGGGGGCGAATTCTTGGTCTTGAAGGTGATGATCCCATGGTCCAACGCCTTCGTGCCGCATCGTTGGCTCGTGTCCGTCGACGTGAAGATCTTCTACGTGGAGTAATACATGCAGCAGACAGGGGCGCAGGTAGTCACCCTTACCGTCGGGATCCTGGTCACTCCGCAGGTTCATCATCGGACCCGCGGCCGCGACCCAGTCGTGCACCTCACCTACCATCGCGAGCCACGCCGGACCTACCTTCTGCTGAACATGGTCGCCCTGGACTTGACCTTCGTGATCCACCTCCTGGAGCGCTACATGGACGGCATCCAGAACGTCGTGATGGCGATGTGAATGGGGTGACTGCTGACTCTGACAATGAAGAAGACGACCTTTTGGGTGGAGTTGGCATGATTGACCCCCCTGGCGATGCACTACCTGGTCCTGGAGATGCTCATGTACTTCATCCAGTTGCTAGTGGACCTCCTGGTGATGGTCTTAAGCCCTGCATTTCTGGTTGGTGAAAGTCTAGGCCCTACCCTAAGCCCCTAAAAAAAGCTAAACCCCTACCTTAACCCTGAATAGCCTACCTTTTTAGGGTTCCTTATTATGATGTCATGTATAAGTCCTTAAAAATGTAGGTTCTTCGGGGTTAAGGTAAGCCCTAAACCCTGAAACACCGTCAAACCCCACATGTGTGGTTCATGCTACGCATCTCAGGATTCCTGCCTGCACTTGCTCGAAGGCCCACTTGGGGGGGTGGGAATGACATTCGGGAGGCACCTTCAAAGGGGACCCTTCCTAACTCTACTTCTGGCTCTCTTAAAAGGGACTTCATTGAGAGGGTCTATATTCCCAAAGGGTCCCCCTAATCCTAACCCCTATAGTAGTACAAGTGTTCCCTTACAGTCAGAAAGGGGCTCCTTTAAGGGTTGCTTTAATGGCTCCTTTAAAAGATCCTTCTGGGGCTCCTTTCAGGTTCCTTGTAGTTCCACATATACTTGTTCAACAATGTGCCACACAATCCTGTTGAAACCACCAAGGCCTCGATGTGAGATTGCATGGCGAGGATGAGAACCATCCTGTCGGTAGAGGATCTAGGGAGAGTCACTCCCAAAAAAACTCCTTCTTGGGGGTTCATGGGACTTGGTAAGTACAGTTGTAAGTCCCCTAACTGGGGTTATATCCAATTAGAAGTATAGTTACCTTGTTTATAACCATAGTTACTAAGTCCCATGAACCTTCAAGCTGCACTTCCATCAGGCCAAGAGCAAAACAACTCGAGCACCTTTCGGCGCAGTACACCGCATTTGGTTTACTTCATGTGAGAGTTTCCGAAAATTCGGGGTACCTTATTATGAAGTCCTTATAATGAGGATCCTACTAATTAGGGTACCATATTTGGGTCCCCTATTTTCGGAAACTCCCATGTTCGTTTCGCTAGCCATGCTGACAATCTGAACTATCAGGTTAGCAATGAAACCCTCGCCCCGTGTTTGTAACAGTCGTGTAGGCATCGTCAAAACACATGACCCGACGGCCTAAGCCGTCGTTGTTCTGGCCAAAGGCGACCTAAACCCTAAACCCTAAACCCAGAACTTGAGAGCCCTCCAACACCCTTGCGCCAATGTCCAAGCCTCGAAGTTCATGATCGTTGTTTTGGGGTTTTCCAGGTCGTGTAGCCAAAGCTACTTAAAGGTTCATGAGACTTAATAGCTATGGTTATAAGTAAGGTAACTCTACTTCTAATTGGATGTAACCCCAGTTAGGGTACTTATAACTGTACTTACTAAGTCCCGTGAACCCCCAAGTACCTGTAGCCTGGCAACTTGGCAAAAGCGTAAGCTCCCGGTCCTTCTACTGCTGGCTCCCGGCAGCTCCGAGACAGTTTGCTTTTTGTCGGGCCGGCCTCGTCAACCTGGGTGATGTGCCATGATGTACCTCTAGCGCCCACCACTTCTGCAACAGCAGCCGACCGACTAAGCAACTTAACAACATCTCCCGACCTTCCTGCTGTTACCGAGCGACCGTGATCAGCCAACGTGCAATTTGGCACGTAGATCCCTGGTCTCGGTCAGGTCTGCTGGAAGTCGATCCAGCCGAACGCTTGACTCTGGGTGAGAACGCCTGGTCGTTGAGTGGCCGCGAGCCTGAGGAGATCGTTGTAGTGGCATCATGTGACTATATCAGTACTAGTATCAACCGCATCATTACCGCCCTCGCCGCCCCAACCACCGACGCCGCCGCCCCCGCCACCCGACCATTCGACCAGCCGACCGACCACCCGACCGCCCCACTGCCCGACCACCATCACCACCATCACCACCATCACCACCATCACCACCACCACCACCATCACCACCATCACCACCATCACCACCATCACCACCATCACCACCATCACCACCATCACCACCATCACCACGATCATGATGATCATCATCATCATCACCACCGTCATCCTCACCATCATCATGATCATGATGAACATCATCATCGCTGTCATCATCATCTTCAAGATAAGTATCGTGACCATGTGATTACCGTCACCATCGCCGGCATGATCATGCTAGACCGGACTGGCCGACCTGAGGGAGTCTCATCGCCGTGCCGAGGCGATCGGGTCTCCGTGTGGAGTGAGGATTGGGTGCTAGCAGCACCAGCTTGGGGACGCGAGATTAGCGATTTCTGACAACGAAAGGTCGTTTAGAGTCGGTTCTTCTTGTGGTCATCCTGGGGGATCCGGGCAGACTCCGGTCGAAAAGGCCCGCCGCGGGCAGCAGCCGGAGGTCCCCAGCCTTCGACCCAGGAAATCCCAGGAAAGCACAGCGCCGAGCAGGCAACTCTCACACTGTCATGCACAGAGCCCTTTCCTGTTGGGTGAGGTGCCAAATTCGAGACGTTGGGTGCCGAACCCCGAGAGAACAATCAAGATAGTAGCGGTTCCCCCCAAACAGTACGCTTGAGACTCGAGCCATTGCTACTACGAAGCCCAATTGATCCCAAGCTTGTGCTAGTTTTTTATTGTGACACCTGTGAGAGTGAGAGTTCACATTCCTGCCAGAGTTGGGAGATCAGGGGCGAGCTGAAACTTGCCCTCTAGACGGTGGAAGCTGAGCTTGTATGGCTTTAGCATGTGGCTGCGTGAACCTGAAAACCCCTGTGTGCCCAATTCTGGCCGACGACCAAGTCAAGGTCAGACTAGACAGCCTCGACACATGCGGGAGAAAGGCAGGAGGCAGGAGGCTGTGCAGCATGAGTAACACTAGTAATATGGATGGTAATAGTAATTGGAGCAACCGGAGCCATAATACTTGTAATTGCAGCAATAACTGTAGTAATGGTAAGTCGAGAGTCAAATCACAGGAAAATTATAGAACAACATTGAAATACAGTAACAACAGTAAGCATAGCAACCGTGGTAAGGATGATAGTGGAAACACAGTCGTAGTAGTAATAACGGTCCGCAGAAATCATAGTAACCATCAGTACTATCTGAAGTTATAGCAATCAGAGTAATTGTTAATAGCAGCCGTGATAACCATGGTCCAACATCAGTAAGATTAGCACCAATCGAAATGAGAGTTTTATGGCAGAAACAACGATAGTAGTAATGAGAATAGTCATGTAATCCCAGCGATCACAGAAATCATCGTCATGATGGTTTTGATAGTAGGATAGTCATAAGTAATCTAATCTTGCAATAGTAGAAATAGTAGTACCATCTTGCTACCATTGTGATTGTTTACGGGCTGCAATAGCTTTACGGACCCTAGCCGGGCGTGCAGCTGGGATCCCCAAATACCTTTCACCCTAAACCCTAAACCCCAAGCCCTAAGCCCCAAGCTCCAGACCCTAAACCCCTAAAACCTAAGCCCCAAGCCCTGAGCCCTAAGCCCTAAGCCCCAGACCCTAAACCCCTGAACCCTAAGCCCCGAAACCTAAACCGTCAGCCCTTGCATGTAAGCCTCTTGGGCCTCCTCCTGCAGATCTTGTTCCCCACGTGCCCTTGGAATTTTTGAATCCTCGCATCATGAAAAGAGGGAGACGTAGGCCGCCATCGACGCCGAGGAGGGCCGTGAACCTGGAAATCGTAAAGGTTTAGGGTTTAGGGTTTAGAGTTTTACCTTCAATGACACTGGCATGGGAACTCACATAGGGGCCTCTATAGTTGTGTTTCTAAATTTACCGTACGCCACTTGTGAGAAGCCTTTATCTACAGCACGAGGCAAGCCGTGGCGGCATTTCCCACACACCGTCACTTTTTAAATGGGCCGTGCCCGTAAGGACGCATTCGTGTGGAAATGTAGGACGGGTTCCCCGAGCACCGAAAGGAGTGACGCCAGAAGCTTGATGTCAAACCCTGGGCCCAAAACGTTCTAGCTTTGGTATCTCCGGAAGACCTGCGGTAAGTGATTGTTCGACAGCATGCGGCTGCATGCCTGGTTTGCTCGAACGGGTTGGTGGAGCATGAGCCTGGTGCCCTGAATAAACGGATCTTTCAGCTTGCTTGATTGACTTAAACTTAAACCCCAACCCCTAAGCCCAAACCGCAATTACAGTGGCCTAGTCTACGCCAACGTCTTGAGCTCTTGGGTGAAGCACCCAGATGGCTGTGATTATGATCTTTGGCAGTCTGTTCGTTGGTTTGCTTCAATGATGGGCCTAAGGTTCAGGATTAGTGCTCCGGTTTAGGGTTACTTTTTCTTATCACTGTTGTTGCTATTGTTCTTGTCAAGCCTGGTTCTAGCTTGGCACTGACACAGAGGTCGGGGGACCCGTTCAAGGGCGTGGCCGTGGGCACAGTTCCACGATTTTGTGGGAGGTTCTGGAAGTTTCTGGGGTGCCTAAACCCTAAACCCTAAGACCCTAAGCCCGAAACATCCCTAAGCCCTAGACCCTACGTTCCGTTCCCGAAGCTTGAAAGCCGACACAGAGACTTTCGGAACCTCCATTTCAGCTGCGAATGGGGCAGAGGAGCCTAAGGCCTTAGGCCTGCAAAGCAGTTCACACCTAAGTCAAGCCGTGAACTCTACAGCCTAAATAAACCCTAAGCCCTTGAAGCCCTAAAGCCCCGGAAAGCGCACCAAATCGTTCCTGAGCGGCTCGATCTGTACAGCGCCAGAGCTTTGAGTTCGCTCGGGTGAAGGAGTCAGGTTGGCCCACCCCTGTCCTTCCGCATTGCAGCTCTTATTGAGGGACAGCGGGCCAGCCATGCGGCTATCCTAAACGAAACCCTGGAAACTTGAACCCCAAACTCCAGATCCCGAACTCCTAAACCCTAGACAGGGTAGAACTTGGTTTAGGTCAAAGGCGTGGAGTTGGTTTTGGGGGTTGTGCGATTTTTGGTTGAG